ACAAATAAAAATCGCATGAGAAATTGGTAGCTGATACGCTTTAGTGATTTGTGCAGAACTTTTTAATTATTTCGTGTGACTATGTTTAGAAATTCGGTGCAATTGTTTGTGTGAAATGAATGGGCACATATTAACAGCAATTAAAAGAGATTCAATTTACAATAAAAATTTTTTCATATTAACAAATCAATTAAATTTTAAATAAATCAAACATTTGCAAGACATAAAATAATAAAGGCGTGAAAATTCAAAAGGCCGTGGATTATTTTGAAATTTTCAACGACTTAAATGATTTTATGAAAGCAAATTAATAAAACACAATTCTAAAGAAAGGACGAATTATTAAAAAATTAGCAATTATAAAACATTTTTAACAAGGTGCAATAAACAGCAATTTGTTTTATGAAACACATGTGTAAATTTCATTAAAAAATAAATTTTGAAGCAACTTACAACAAAGCATTTACAAAGAATTTTATTGCAATCGAAGTGCGAAATGTGTGAAAGTGACAACTGAAAAATTTTTAAGTGGATTAAACCAAAGTTCGCATAAATTCAGAGTCAAAAGTTTATGCAGAGGATAATAAAGGCAAAGAAAATCAAAACACAGCAATGAACAACGACAGCAGAAGGAGTAGCAACAGCAATAAAAGACAGTCAACACACAAAAAGCAAAGAAACCATACACAAAATAATTAAGTGGAAATAAATTGTGGTTTGCCTTGCAACAAACAAGAGTAGAAGAAGAAGCAACAGTGGCGGCGGCGTCAGCCAACTAACAACATATTTCAACTGTAGTGGAAATTTCAAAGCAGCAAAGAAAAAATAACAAAAAAGTTACAGCAGCAGCCACACATACGCGCGCACAGCCAGACAGACAAGGTGGTGGAACAAGTTTTGCAGTGAGTGCTCTTAAATAGCTCTGAACAAAATTGTTGTGCTGCTCTTAAGTTTAATAAAATTAAAAAATTAAAAAGGAACACACAAAAAGGCAGCAGCAGCGGCAACAATAACCGCTTAAAAGTGTAAGAAGTTAAGATATTTTGTAAAATAAAAGTTTTCAAAACTGATACAAGTTCAAAAAACGAAAAAGTAGCATAGAAATTGCTGCAAAACTTGTCGGATTCTTACAAAAGTCAGTTGAGAAGTGCTCGTGCTCCTATTATGTACACACACACATCAAACTAGCACTGGCCAAAAATTACCTAAAAAAAGTTTTAAGACCACTCGATAGGGTGAACTCACTATAGCGGCAAATTACCACACGCCAAGTTTCGCAACAATAAAGTCGCCACTGCAGACTCGACAAACTTAACGGCCACTGCAAGCGAGCACCAACAGAAGCAGCAGACATTAGTAGCAGCAAAGCGGAATATTTTCTGCGAGAAATTCAATTAAAAGTCAAAGCAGGTAAAGAAGTGTGGACGCAATAAAAACGCTAAAACAACAGAGCAATAAAAAACAGACGAAGGTGAGACAACAACACTTGTTGTAGGTACGTTAACCTACCCGCAAACAATCAAAGCGAAAAGGTATTGCAACGCAACGCAACGCTGTAAAAGTAACNCGACGAAGGTGAGACAACAACACTTGTTGTAGTACGTTAACCTACCCGCAAGCAATCAAAGCGAAAAGGTATTGCAACGCAACGCAACGCTGTAAAAGTAACATCAGCAACAATTACAAAAACCAAAAAACAAACAAAATGACCTTGCCCACAACAACAACAGTGAATGGTTGCGAAGACGATTCCGATATGTTTGGCCCGCCACGTTCCTCACCGCCCATCGGCTATCATCATCATCGTTCGCGTGTACCAATGATATCGCCAAAGTTGCGTCAACGTGAAGAACGTAAACGCATATTGCAATTGTGTGCACACAAGTTGGAGCGCATCAAGGATTCGGAGATGAATCTGCGTCGCAGTGTTTGCATTAATAACACCTATTGCCGGCTAACCGATGAGCTGCGACGGGAGAAACAGTCACGCTATCTAGCGAATTTACCGAGGTGAGTACTCATACACAAATATGTATGTATAGGTATGTAGATTATTTAGTTTGTATATAGGATTTCAAGTTTATGAGAGGGATGACTTAACGATGGAAAAGTTTGTTAAGTGGTGGCAACTGCTACGAGTAGCTTTACTACAAAGCAAAAAGTGATTAAGTGAATGAATCAAGTGATTTAGAAGTTGAAAAATGTAAGATGACCAATCATAATTTTATAAACTATGAAATAGAAGCAAATAGGTACCAAAATGAAGAGAAGATAGGTACATAAATGAAAAATAGATATGAAATCGAATTTACTGAATGAAATATTCATATTAAAATTTTAACAACGAAATAAATAAAATTAAGTGAAATTCGATAAAATTAACAAAGTGAAAAATAAAACAAAATATCGTAGTTGGTGACCGTCGAAATATCAGCCACATATAGTTTACGACAATTAAAATTATCGCTTTTTATTTGTGGACCAAAGAACGAGCCAAACTTCATGTTAAAATTCTGCAAATAGAGATCAGGCATGTCATATTGTTGAGTTTGAAGTGGAAAAGGGAGTGAAATATGGCCGTCGGATTGAATTGGCTATTGAACCAGCTGTTACCTACACTAAGTAAAAATATTTTGTAAACTTATACTGTTTTTAAAAGCATATCCTTATGGATTAAATATAATAGTTTTGCATCTTATACAAAAATTAGTACCTGGCACATCACGAAAGGGTTAATGCTCCTATGCTTAACGCCTTACAAAACGCTCTTATGCTTGGCTCATAACAAGCTGGTCAACTCTCTTATGTGCGGCTTATCACACTCGTAACGGCTAAACCAGCTTGGATGCTTGCTGCATCGATGGAGTTTACTCCACTCCCGGAATAATTTTGGAATCCGGAAATAAGCCCTATCAGTTTGTTTCACACGGTTCGCAGTAATCGAGAATGCCTCTGGTGACATTTTGTCAAAAGAACATGATATTCATCCTTGCAAATCAAATTACTTAACTAAAAATGATTTAGAATTTCCCAAATGACATACCTTTGTAAAAGTAATTTTTATGTAAATACCTATTGAAACAAGTCTTGGAAAAACTGGGCTCTTTGTCTGAACCCTCTAGGTTGCAACGAAATCCATTTCGAGTCATTTGTATTTTTATTAAAACACTTAAGTTCAAATACCAAATTATTTAATAACAAAACACAAGCATTAACACTTCCTCCAATAGAACACCCAATGAAATGCAAAAGACTAAAAAAATTTGGTGCTTCTCTCATTTTTAAATACCCACTTCCAGCAACGATTGAGGCAAGTAATTTTTCAACCTCGAAATTACTTGCACTTCCTCCTTAAACCCGCCTCCCCATTCTTTACTACAACATAATCCATATTTTTGCCAATTTTTATTATGAAAAACAATTATCTCTACTGTGCGCTACTGTCCGCCGCCGCTTTGTACTTGTAAAAGCTCTTTTTCTCTATCGAATTACGGGCGTTTATTTTCTCGAAGGCACGCATAGCCCAATGGGCCACGGACATGAATACGCATTTTTCCCAATAAAACTACCTCGTCTCTATTTAACACCCCAAGAGCTGACGCGCGCCTCCTCCTTCTGCACGAACGCCAGCCAGCACACCCCACGTCACACAACGCTGATGACTTATTCATCGTTGTATTTATCAGCATACGAAAGTGTGCACAATCACACAATTGGAAAAACGAAAACGAAAATTACAGCAGCAAACAACATAGCAGATACAAGCGGGCAAACATATAAATGAATTGTAAATGCGGATATACGCCGCGCTGACTGCCTAACTGGCTGTTTGGCTGAATGAATCGCCCGTTGTCTGTCTATCTGCCTTGCTGAACAGAATATCAACTCTGCTGAGTCCGCTTAGCCGAGCTCGAGCGCCTGCTTGGTCTACCTTGCCAGCGCGCGCTGAGTTGCCGCGTTGTACGTTTTTCCCCATTTGTGTGTGCGCGCTCACTGGCTGCTGTGCAATGTTATGCTTTTGTTGTTGTTGTTGCAGTTTACGCCGTGCGACAATTAACAACTCGCGCGCACAAGTCAACTAAATAATAATAAAATACAAAATGAGAAAATATCAACGGTTGCCGATACGTGCGTGCGAGTGTACCAACTAACACGGTTGCAAGTACATTTTTCCATAAATATGTCCATACATATGTATGTATGGTGTTTGAATTGAATCGAGTGAATCGTTTCATTCTGCTAAAATTAATTGTACAGTCGTAGCATATGAAAGTTTTTCGGGACGCTCTCATTTGGTTGATTTGTATGATTTTGTCCTCTTTTCGAGTTTCCTTTTCCCTTTTTTTCAATTTCCTTTTTTCGAATTCTTCCGTGCGCCTGAAAATTTTCGTGCCTTCTTCGATTTTTTGTTCGTTTTTGTTTGTCTTGCTGGTTTAACAGTTTCTTAGCTGAATTGTAAATTTTTTTTTAATTTTTTTCATTTTAGCTACGATTGTGCAAAGCGTATCTATGCAACTGCCTTAATGTGCGTGAAATTTGGTCTCCTTAGCGGGTCGGTTTTTGTGCAACTTTTTTTTTTACATTTTATGTCATCCAGTCTTAATTTTTCGCCATTTGCGCTGCACCTTCATTTTGCTTTTTCTTTTGTTTTTCTGTTGCTTCTCTTTAACCATTTAAGCTGTTCAGCTATGCGACAATTATGTAGATACAATGGCTAGCTGACGCGACAAGGCATTGATTTGCGATTTGTATAAAGATACGATTGTTTGTTATAAATAATACAAATATATAATCGCTTTGCGCTTAAAACTTTTTACAGTGACTTAGACCCTGTCGCCATGCCGTTTTGCTATTCAACTTTTGCATAAATAAACGACACTATAAATACATATGTACATACAAACATATGTATGTACTTATGTGTGCTCGTCCATACATACTTACATCCATACTTACATATGCATTCCTTATCTGCTTGGTTTCGTTAATTACTTGTGCAGTTTTTGTACTCAATTTATTTTCCAATCTAATTTATTTACACATTTTCAAAATGTTTTTTTTTTGCTATTTTCTTTGCCATTTATTAAATTTATAACATCATTTGCTGCTGTTCATATTCTAAGAATTATTCAAAAACATTTAGTTAGATGCTCACGCGCGCATACATATGCCTGCATCGTACATATGAAAAATACAAACGAGCATACAGTACTCGTATGAATATAAATTTGTCTTGGCTATTTGTGCATTTATTTATAACACAATTTGTAATTTTAGTGGGAATTCCTCATTTTGCTACCCGGAAAATTTGAAATTTATTGTCTTACATACAAACAAATTTACTTAATACTTTAAATTTTTGTATTATAAATTTTTTTGTATGTTCAATGCGCATATGGGTGTACATATGTATGTATATAGTATATTCAAATGAACTGTAAATTGCATTCGCCCATTGAGTGGGTCACAGAAAAATATGCACATAAATAAAAATAAGACCAAAGCAGCGGCGGTGAAATGATAACAAATGTGAATTTCTAGAAATACTCGAGTCTTCGCGGAATTATTTTCATATAGAAATTGAGTGATTACGTTAAATATTATAGAAGCGAATTGAAAATTAAAAAAAAAATCTGCCTTATACAGAGTTTCGTCGGAAAAAATTCACCCGAAAATTTTTCATCCGCCCATAGTAAATCCATGGAAACCAAAAGTGAAAAGTGAACCGGTTCGGGGAAAATGAAACTCATGTAATGCTGAATATGTTTTTTAAAATCGTCATAATTTTCTGACGTAAAAAAATGACTAAAAACTAAAAATTCTAAATTAATGCAGGTCGGTTTGAAATATACCTTCTGGTGGGGATACAGTAATTGGTTAGTCACACTTTATTAGCCTTATATCCATACACCATATAAAACGATTGCACAGGGCTACAGGTGGAGGATCTGGGAGCTAAGTTTATATATAAGTTTTGGTTTACTGTTACGACTTCCAGGGATATAGCTTCCATGGGCCCGTTGAAATTATTTCTCTCCGCTCGCTCACGAAAATCTATCTTTACGATTTTAGTGTAACAACGAATTAATTTCATTCACTTATGCGATTCCTTGCTTTATTTCACTTTTTTGAAAAAAAAGTACTGAAAAATGAGGTAACAAAAACTTTGTTATATAATAAATATATCTTCTTTTAAGAAATTTTACTTCAAAAAATTTGTCACTTAAAAAAAAATTGTAAAAAATGTGTTCAAAAATTTTATTTATTACAAATTACTTCAAAAAGTAAGTTAACTTAAAACAGTGATTTCATGAATTGTATGTAATAAAAATTTCAATAACAATTCGTTTTTACAAAAATGTGAGACCAAAATCATCTAAATCACGACAAAAATGTCTTCTTTTAAAAATTAAATAAAAATGTGATGATAAATTCCATAAAACTTACAAATTATATTCAAATATATGGCGATAAAAATTGTGTGCCAGAAGTTCCAACTTAAACAAATTTTTAATCAAAAATCTGATGACAACAATTTTATGCATTTTATTAAAGTATTTCTTGTAAAATAGTTTAACACATAAACGTAAACATAAAAATTTCACTCTGTATCCAAACTAAACCACTGTAATTTTAACAAATTTAGTACAACAATTGGAAAAAAAAATTTTACTGCCGCTTTTTAAGACCTAAATTTTCACGTTTGAGGACACAAACCTTGCGGCTTTAAGCGATAACTTTTGCGATTTAAATAATTCTTAAAAAATAAAAGCTTTAACATTTCCGGACACGCAATCAACTTGAAATTAAACGCACTCACACATGCATACCAGTACATACCCCCACTCACTGCACAACTTACCTCGCCTTATAGTTAACCGCACTTGCCAACTCAAAATGCGTGACAGCAACAACGAAACACACTTTCGTTTGTATACAAACAACAGAATACAATAACAAAAACAGAAAGAGGCTTAAGAAAATATGTTAAAAAGCGCACAGTTGGCATG